ACCACCCCTCCGCGGCCGGCCAAGGTGCAGGAGGCTGCAAGGCAGGACCACCCCGGACAGCAGCCCGCGGGGGAGGCCGGATGCTCCATCGGGCGGGCGGCTGGGCTGTCTGGGGGACAGCACAGGCGGGCCCACAGTGGAGTGAGCCCTTGCCAATTGCTCTGGCGGGCTGTTTCCCTAACCCCTCACCCCGGCCGGGCTCCCCCTTGGACACACGGAGCCCAGGACTCAGGAAGGTCGCTGCCGACTAGTGATCGGTGGACCTGGTGCTCAGACTCAGGTCCTCCCGAGTCAGGAACCTGCGCCCCAGGCTCGCTGCAGGGGGTCAGCGCCCAGCGAGCGCCCACGGGCCTGCAGGCGGGGAAGGGGTGGCTCAGCTCCGTCCCGCAGGGAAGACGGGGAGAGGCTCCATCGGAAGACGGACAGAGCAGCCAGGCGGGGCCCAGGTGGTCGTGGCCTGGGGCGGCCTGGGGCTCTCTGGAAGCAGCTGGCCAGGGGCAGGGGCTGGGAGGAGGACACAGAAAGTGCAGCCTGCCCACCGGCAGAGGGCCTGTCCCAGCCCTGGTTCCCCGGAAACAGGCCCCTGGGAGAGCCGGCCCTGGAGGCCCACCTGAAGGGAGCTGAGGACGGCAGGGTGGGCACAGGGCACGGCAGGCCTGCAGTGAGGGTGCAGCAGCGGGGGGTCCGCAGCTCACAGGGGTTGGGCCCGGGGTGTGGTGGAGCCAGGCTGGCCCCTCAGAGTTCCCTCAGATGGAGGCAAGGGGGACAGGCCTCTGCACCCCTCACCCCCTCATCATTGGCACAGACCCCCAAGGGGGGCAGCAGCGTGGACCTGGAGGGTCCGGGTGGTGAAGCGGGGAAGGCGGCCGCTGTGAGCAGGTGTTGCCAGCACCTGGGAGCAGAAGAGGGAATCCGGGTGGGGCCCCGTGGCATCCACTGCAGGTCCTGTAACGCTGCAGAGCCCAGTCAGGGAGGGGGCGGCCCCCATCCTGCCCAGAGAGGGCTGGGGTCAAGGTGAGGAACCCCCCACCGGGGCTCTCACCTGCCATGGGCCAGAGACGGCCCCTCCTGGCTCCCTGAGCCTGGGGCCCCCACGCTGGGCATCCTGCTGGCTTGTGGCTGCCTCGCCCGCGGGCCCTGGTGGGCTGGTCCTTTGCAGAGGGAGCTGATGCAGCAGCAGTGGGAGGGGCCTGGGTGCCCTTCCTGCCATGCCGCCAGAGCCCTTAGACCTCTCCCCGCTCAGAGCCAGCGGGCAGCCTGGCCAAAGGGGGCACAGCCCCTCACGGGGCAAGAACACTGCTTTCAGAGGAGCCATGCGCCTTCTCTCTGCGAAGCATTAGAGCTCATCGAGGGGCGCCCAAAACCACCCAGCTGAGCAGAAGGCAGGCCTCCCAACCCCCACCCAGCACGAGCCTCCTGAGGCTCCGGGCCGCCCCGTCCCAGACCCGCCCGCGGGCTGGCAGGTGCAGAGAGCCGCCCAGGCGCGGTCGGCAGCTGGGCTCCCGCTGCTGGTTTCATTGATGAGACGGTATCCAGGACGTCCGGGCACAGACATGCCTTCATCGCAGGGGTCCAGCCTCAGGGGCCGCCCGCATCCGGGGCCTTGGTGCCAGGCTGCCCTCCTCTCCCCTCGACGGTGCAGGAGGGCCCAGAGAGGTGGGCACCGGGACAGCTGACAGGAGCCCGAGTGAGCGCAGGGCGCACCAGGTTGGGAAGCAGGGTGGGCGCCGTGTCTGTGGGCCGACCGTCCGGCTGCGACCACGCCTGGTAAGTGGGGAAGCTCTCGGGAACGTGGGGCGGCAGGAGGGGAGCTGGAGCCAGGGAACCAGAGGCGGCCCGGCTGCAGGAACTTCTTGCTCAATCAATAGCTATTTCCCTGCTCCAAATTACTTTCTTCTCCCCCTGAAACCATCAGAGGCACCTGCTGCCAATCGGCTATGACACTTTAAAGAAATGCTATTGGAATTTCTGGGCCCGAGAGGGTTCTCCGGGCGTGGTGTTTGCTCAGCCGTCCCTGGCAGTGCAACAGAGAGGGCGAAGGCGGAGAAGAGATCTAATGGACCGTGCTGAGCAGCTCGGCCCAGCCTGGGGGCGGCCCGGGCACACGTGAGCCTCAGGGGCCCCAGAGCAGCCCCCTGGGCCCCCGTGTGATGATGAGATGGAGACCAGATGTTGGCACCGACTTTGTCCCTCCATTCATGGATCCAACTCAACTGCCCGACTGAGTGCCAGGCCAAGCACGGGGTGTGAGACTGCAGAGGTGACAGGCACAAGGGTCCTGCCCTCCGAGGGCTGGAGGGGAGGACGGGAGGCCACGCGGAAGCAACTCTTGGAGGAGCTAAAATAAGCAAGTCATTGCAGTGTGCTCACAGCGAGAGGGGCGCCATCCTCCCAGCGGGGGCTCGAGGGCCCTGGGCCCCGAGCAGGGACGAGAGGGCTGCGGACAGGGCCTTCCTGTGGTGGGAACGTGTCTCTGCTGGGCCCAGCTGTGGTGGGTTGACTGGAGGTCCTCGAAGGATCTGTGTATGTCCTCACCCTTGGAACCTGTGAACGTGACTTTGGGGAGAAGGTCTTTGCGGGTGTGATTAAGTTAAAGATCCTGAGACTGAGATTCACCAGGTGGGTCCTAAATCCAATGGCAAGTGACTTTATAAGAGACACAGAGACACGGGAGATGCCACACGACATGGGAGCAGAGGCTGCAGCGACGCGGCCACCACGAGATGGGAGAGGAAGGCAGGCCCCTCCCCCGAGGCGCCTGGAGAGGGGCGGCCCTGGTGACACTCCTGGCCTCCAGACTGGGAGGGAATAAAGCCCTGTGGTTCACAGAGTCCCTCCCGCCCGACTCGGGGTCCTGCCTCCGCCGCCCCAGGACCCAGACCAAGCGTGGAAGGCAGCAGACCCAGCAGCAAGGGCGCGGGTCCGCGGTGTCCTTGGGCAAGTTACGCAACCTCCTTGAGCCTCGGGCTCTACATCCTGAAATGGGACTAGCACTAGAACCTTCCAGAAGGTTAGGAGTGACAGCACGGGAGGACAGCTGGCACCTTGCGAAGGGGTCGCCCTCCCTGACCCCCCGAGGTTCATCCACGACGACCCCGTCACCTCTGCCCAGCCCCACCACAGCCCCAGGGCCCCCGTGTGGACGAGTTCGGCGTCTCAGGAGCACGCGGGCTTCCTCCTTCCCACGGCAGAGGGCCGCCTGAGCCCCTCCATTCAGGCCAGCCCCACCCTCGCGCTCAGCTCCGGGCATCCCCCACAGCCTCGCAACAGCAAAGGCAGCGATGACGGCAGTCATGTGACGGCAGACCACGCACAGAGGGTCTTCTGAGAGCATCGCGCTCACGGAGGGACCAGCACCTCAGAGCGGGCGTGAGGTCGGCACCGCGGTTATCTCTGTGGTTATTCACAGGCGAGGACACGGAGGCAGGGAGAAGCCTGTGCCTGACGCAGAGTCCCAGGAACCAGGACACCCACCAGGTCGTCTGAGCCTTTACCCTCCTGAGTAATAGTATTTACATGATGGCCCAAGAGACGCCTCTCATCCTCTGGATTCTAAGCAGGGCTCTGTCTGGTTGTGCTGGCCGCCCTGTCTCCTAGCGTATAATCACTGCTTGATTAGTGCTTGAGGAACGAAGAAGTAGATGGATGGATGGATGATGACAGATGATGATGAGTGAATAATGGATGGGTGGATGAGGGTTAGAAGGATGGATGATGGATGGATGGATGGATGGATGGATGATGGATGGATGGATGGATGATGGAGGATGATGGAGGGATGGACGGTAGATGGATGGATGGATGATGATGGATGATTGATGGATGGATGGATGATGGATGGATGGATGAGGGAGGGATGGATGGTAGATGGATGGCTGGATGGATGAATGGATAACAGGTGGATGGATGGCGAATAGGTGGATGGATGATGGAGGGCGGGATGAAGGCCTTCCAGTTCAGGTGCTGACTTCTCAGGGCACACTAGCACCAGAAGAGTGGAGAGAGTCAAACTTGGAATTTGAGAGCCAGGAGGCAGTCCAGCATGGCCATCCTGTTGGAGTGAATTGCTGGGACCCTGTGCCATCTCCTGAGGTCCCCCTGGGCTCTGAGATCGAGCCTGTGAGCCAGAGCTGAGTCCTGGATCCTTTCCTTATGCACACCAGCGTCTGCAGAGCACAGTTTAGGTGCGCTCTCTCACTAACGCCCCAGGGTCGGAGGCTGGCCGTATCCTGTTGGCAGGCATCAGCCCCGGCTCTCAGGGGAGGGCCCTTCCTGGCCCGAGGTCTCAAAGCCACTAAACGGTGGGCCGGGAATTAAACAGGACTCTTCCTCTGATTGCACGGTGCATCAGAGGAAGGACGCAGGCTTAGGGGCCACACCAGTGTGGACTTGACTCTGGTCCTCGTCAGCTGGGCGGTCTTGGTCGAGCCGCTCTGCGCAGCATCAACAAAAATGCCAGCTTCCCAGGCCACTGAGAAGACAAGTGTCAGCGCCCAGGAAGCGCCCGACGGCCCTGGGCTCTGAACAGGGATCCTGCCAGCCGGGCGCATGCATCACAGGGTCCACAGAAACCCATGGCCTGTCCCAGAAAGCATCTCCCCGTGGTGGCTTCCTGCAACTCGGGGCTCAGATCCCAGGTTGCAGAACCTGGAAGGACAGGTGAGTGACCAAGAGGTGCTCCGCCAGGGCAGCCGCAGGCGCAGCCACGGGGCTCGTGCCCCGAGCAGCCCGACGTGCCTGCGCGCCCCTCGTGCGCACGGCTCTCCGCGAGGGTCAGCTGTGCCATAAGGCAGCGAAGACGGCTGGGCCTCCCTCTCTCTCTGCCGTGCGGACGCTCTTCTCTGGGAGCTGAGAGTCACTCCCTGGCTCTTCCGTGACTGCGGGCATCATCCAAGTGTGATTGAGAGAAGGGACACCACGGGGACCTTCTAATCGCCGAGGGGCTCTTGTGGGCAGCACCTGCTCATTCCTAATAAGCAGAGAGAGCAGTGGTCAGACACACGGACTCAGACCGCTTCCCTCCAGCTCCCCGGGCAGCCCCATCCCTTGCCACCTGCCGCCTCCAGCAGGACTTCAAAGGGAATGAGACAGGTTCCCCCAAGTCCTCCCTAAGTGGGCAAAACGGGGTGTTTGGGGGGTTCTGGGGTGAACGGGGTGCCCGGTTGTCCCAGCTCAGACTCAGACAAAGCACCAGGTGTTTTCAGAGGCAGCGCGGCGTGGAAAGAGTCCTGAGCACCGAGCCCTTGGCCCCAGCCTCGACGTTCTCCTCTGTGAGACGGGGCGAGTGTTGCCTGCCCTCGTGGGGATGGCGAGAGTGAGGCTGCGTCACCAAGGGTGCCTGGTGTGACGCCAGAGAAACGCGGTCCCATCCTGCTCCAGCCACTTAGGACAGTGGCGGAGGCGGGCTGGGCAGGGACGTGGGTGCGGCTCCCAGGCCGCCCCTGCCCGTGAATTTCTAGGACAGGTGAGCCCGGCCGAGCGAGGAGCCACACTGGCTGAACCAGTTGACCGTGGCTTATGCTAGACTGTTTTCAACCTTGAAGAACACATGTCAAGTGAAATAAAGAAAATGGGACAAACAAAAAGATGTCCAGTGAAATAAATGCGAAGTCGTAGGAAGTAAGTCTGGAGGCGCCTCCTAGAGCCTTGGCCAGGACGGCCGCCCCCGGGCAGGTGCCTGCAGCTGAGGGCGGGACCTGGGCGGCCGAGGGAAACGGCCCTGAGGGCGCGCCCTCTTGCTTCCAGCTCCCAGAACCCAAACACCGGGTAGTCTCGGCTCCTGGGTTCCGGGTCCTCGGGCCTGGGCCTCCACCCCGGAGTGAAGCAGGTTTCGGATGCCCTCCGAGCGTGCCCGGCTCTGACGGGCTGGAAGCCCTCAGCGTCCCCCCACGGCCCCCAGCTCCTCGGCTCGGCCCTCCCAGCCTCCTTTCCTCCCACCCTCTGCCTTGTCCTCACCCCCACCAGCCGCCTCCCGATGGCACCCGATTCAGAACAAGCCCGCTTCCTTGAATCTCCCCGAAAACCACCTCTCTCGGGCCGAGTCCTTTCTAACACCTGCGTGGGGACGCCGCGGGCCCCAGGGCTGCAGGTGGGGAGAGTCCCATTCGTTCAAGCAGCAGGGGTCCCTGGCGGCCCTGCTGGAGGCGCCACAGCACCGCGCACATCACAGCAGCCCGCCGGCCGGCCCTGCTTGGGGAATGCCCTGAAGCCGCCCTTTGGCGCGTGATTCATAGGAATCTCCGCTTGGACGGCCCCTCCTCCAGGAAGCCTTCCCACCCTCCCGACTGGCTCTGCCGTCCACGTCTGTGCCCCAGCCCCCGCGAGGTTCTCTCGTGGGCCTGGCAGGCCAGGCCACGGCTCCTCCTTCCTCATCAGACCCTGAAGGTGGGGCTGGGCCCTGACCGCCTCAGTCTCCACAGGACCCAGGGCCCGGCCCCGCCCCCAGGAGATGCACAGGAAGGTTCGGGAGCAGCCTGGGCCCTGACCCACCTCGACCCCTCCAGCCAGCGTTATCAGCATCCGGGTCTGTGCAGACCCTGGGCCCACCTGCCCCGACGGTGACCAGGGACCCAGGGGGAGAGTCACCTGAAAGCATGTGCCTCCGGCGTGTCCCG